TTGAGATTTGGCCGTAGGCGCAGACACCGCATACCCAAAGCGCCTGATGGATTAGGCTAGTTTGTAGAAGCTGTTCGATTGTTCTTCGCGTATTCTAGCTGCAGCTTCCTCAAGCTGAGGTGTGCGGAAGAGGGGTCGATATCACCCCCTCAACTGAGCCTCGCTATCGCCATCTGCACTCAGGATTACGTGTGCACATCCATCTCGATTGCGCGCGGAGAAATAACAGCATGCGACGAGTGCTAGCCGTTGCCCTCTTCGGAAGCTCCTCAAGGTGATAACGTAGGGCTTATCGTGGGTGCTGGGTCGGCTGTTGCTACATTACGTATGCGGGCGCGCATCTTGTGGAGCTGAGTTGATAGAGTAACAACCTGAACTTGACCGCCTGGCCACAGAAGCAGTGAAGGCGTCGTCCAGGTGCATCATGTCGTTTCTCGAACTTGGGGGGTTGCATGTGTTTGTTACTGGGGCCGCCGGAGGAATTGGTAGTGCGATTGTAGATGAGTTCCTAGGTATGTCATAGTCTTGTGTCTTTGATGGTTGTCGGAGAGTCTTTGCACATTGAATGAAGTCTGCAGGTTCCATGGTAGGCTCAGGGTCTCTGTCAAGTCACTCTGCGGTGGAAGGCACGCTCTAGGGCTTCGGCCTACAAAACAGGGAATCAACGCTATCATTTCAATTGATATTTTTGCTCTCATGCAACCGTCACTAACGCCTGCATAGCACAAGGCTGCAAAGTCACTGCACATGATCTTCGCCCAAATTCTCTCGCCTCAACAAACCCCAACCTCCATTGCCTCCAAGGCGACATCAGTTCCGAAACTTCCATCCAGGACTCCATATCCCAAGCTATCAACCATTTCTCGCAGCCTATCAGCATTCTCTGTGCCAACGCAGGTATCACAGATGAATCTTCCAGCTATCCCATCTGGGATATGCCCAGCGAGCTCTGGGACCGTACCTACGCTGTCAACGTGCGTGGCACGTACCTGACCATCAAGCACTTTCTCAAATCTATTGAGAAATCACAAAGCGACACTGGCAAGGAAGTGGAAAATGTCAGTGTCGTGGTGACAGGGTCCGAGTGTGGAGTCTTTGGTCAGGCAGGTCATGTGGAGTATGCGAGTGGGAAAGCAGGGCTACAATATGGCCTTGTGAAGACAGTGAAGAACGAGATTGTTAGGTTGAATAAGAGCGCGAGGATCAATGCCGTCGCGCCCGGATGGGTGGAGACCAAGTTGATTGAAGGGAGGTTGGACGACCCAGGGGAGATGTGGAGGGAGGCGGAGGCTACGTGAGTCTGACGCTCGTACTGACTCTCCGACACCTTGTTAACGATTGCAGTGTGCCACTCAGGAAAATTGCTCAACCGACCGACGTAGCGAGAGCAGCTGCTTTCCTGGCAAGCCATCGCGCTGCCGGTCATATCTCCGGACAATGTATATCTGTGGATGGCGGTATGGAAGGTCGTATTGTGTGGTCCGAGGACGAAGTTCGCAGATCACAGGCAACTGCTGTTGAGCCCGAAACACCATCTCTCAACGCAACTGGTGAGGCCGAGATATTCGGTACCGCAACCGAAGGAGTCTCTCTAGCTAGTAGGACCCCCTCAGCAATGGCTATACCGACCATGGCGTCTCTCGGCAGCCCTCAATCAACACAGAAGCCGAAGATCAAAATCTTGCTTTCCGTGGATTTTGACGCAGTATCGGGCTGGCTTGGTACTGGCCAACACCCCGATAACAACCTCGCGGACTACAGTACTGGCTTCTTCAGTGGCCATGTCGGAGTACCACGACTCCTCAAGCTCTTCGCGAAGCACGGCATCGCGAACAAAGTAACCTGGTTTGTGCCGATGCATAGTGCAGAGTCTTTCCCAGAAGAGTTTGCCGCCATTAAGAGCAGCGGCGCGGAGATAGGCTTACACGGTTATTGCCACGAAGGCGCCCCTCAGCTCACGCCCACCCAAGAACGCGAAGTTCTCGAGCACTGCATAAGTCTCTACCAGGAACTGTTAGGAAAACGTCCACTAGGCTACCGCGCTCCCCTCTATCAGCTCCGCGAAAGTACCGTGGAGTTACTAGAGGAGTACTCTTTCCTCTATGACTCCTCGCTCTCCCACCACGACAGCAAACCATACTACCTCCCCAACCTCCCACCGATCAAAGCGCCAAAGTACACCGAGGAGGCTTCCGCGAAAGACTGGATGAAACCCCTGCCTAAACCCAGTGCGCCCACAGCCAAAACTCTCGTCGAGATCCCCGCAAACTGGTACACGGAAGATATGACACCGCTCCAGTATCTTCCCAATGTACCCAACTCGCACGGCTACGTCGACGTTCGCGTTATGGAGAACATGTGGAAGGACAAGTTTGAGTGGATTAGGAGCGAGATGCTTGAGAGTAATGGGGAGAAAGATGTAGTGGTTTTCCCCTTAGTGTTACATCCAGATACCAGTGGTATGGCACATGTCATCGGTATGATTGAGAGGGTGATCAAGTGGCTGAAGGCGTGGGAAGGAGACGTGGAGTTCTGCACTTATGAGGAAGCGGCAGGGGAATGGAAAGAGAAGAATGCGATAGAGTAACACGAGAAACATGAAGTTAGGTGTCGGATTCGTTTGTTCCATGCTTCCTTGCTCATCTACTCCGAATTCTCCTTGTCATACAGTCTAATCAACCGCCCACCCTGCTCTGCCGCTTCCTCCCACGGTTCATCACCGCCGACTCCCATACTCTTGACGTTCAGCGTGATGAGACTAGAGCGAAAATCTGATCGTGCGGTTAGTCTAGGAGACGTCTCTACATCGTCATAGCCCTCGGATGGCGTCACAAGAATCACGGTTTTGTCTTCGAGTGTCTTCTCATCCATTATGACGAATTCCGTGCCTACGATACCCTGTTCAGTGCCGTCGAATTGCCACGCGAACTTGACGAAATTGTCCAGTTTCCAGCCTAGGAACGGGTATGAGAGATCTTGCGCCACTGGGGCGCGTGTGGGTGATGTGAGTTTGGCAGTGTCGGTTGTGTCGATGAGAATGGCTGGGTGGTTGGGATTAGCATGCGTTTTGCTCGAGAGTGTGCTGGCTTCGGTTACCTATGTGAGTGCATTCCACGGCCTTCAGCTCGGGCGCTTCGAACGCCTCAATGAAAAACTCGTTAAGAAGCTGAAGATGATGTTAGTTATCTGCATCTTTTCCAAGATTGGATTGAGGTTCTAACATCGTGAGGTATCTTTGCCGTGCAAAATATGGGAATAGTGTTGTCCAGTTGGTCGTTGTTCGCCATAGTGCACGCTGCTACCGATTTGGGTTCGCCCGAACTCGATCTGCTCCGACCTCGCTCTTCTGCCCACCTAGGCTGTATCTTCGACAGTCGAAAAGCCATATTTGGGGACTTCGGAGAAAGAAAGTCGATGTGTGTTTGTATGCAGTGGATTACAGATGTTGCTACCTAGGTACTGCTGATAGCTTTAGCCTGAAGTCGAACGATCGTGGCTTTAGACAGCCGGATTCCGAATGCTGCACTCTTTGGGTATCTCGATCGCTGATTGTTCACTTGCAGAGCTCGACCGAGAGACCCTGCTTATGGAATGCGATACGTACAGTCTGACCCGTCATTCATCCGATATGCAGAAGGTTTGGAAGATGACTAAGGCTTTGTGGTGGGGTTAGCCATAGGTACAGGTGAGCGCAGTATGAAAAGTGGGAAGAGAGACATCATGCGATCTACCTAGGTAAGTTTGGGTTCTCAGCTACTACATTATTTGGACAGTGCACCTGTCTTCGCATTTGCTTAATCAGTGACCGTTTACATACTTCTCTGCACCGCCTCAAATCTCAGTCAATCCACCTAAAGAGGTCCTCCTCACATTTTCCCTCCTGAATGTGAATGGAAAGAGTACTCTTTCCCAAAGCCAACTCAAGAGTGTCGGCGATTTCATGGTGGCTGTAGTCATAGCACTCTTCGCCCTCATCAACATGATTAACCACGATAACATGCTGGAGTGATGGAAGAAAGCCGATGTACATGTCATCTCCACCTGACGCCCTAAGAGACTTGCCATTATAGACGTCTGCGAAACAGCACCAGTCCTCCACCTCGTTACCGCGCATCTGAATTGATTGGATTGAGTTCCAAAGGTCTGAGTTAAGAACAGCATTGCTCTTTTTCAGCTGATCTAGGACAGAGGTGCTGACTTCGAACACAGCCATTGTGTGGAAAGTTGAAAATGTTTCATGGCGGAGCTGGCGGCAGGTAGACAATAGTGCTAGAGCTCCTCGGTGATGACGATAGAGAGAGTATGTGAATAAGCGCGGCCTTTTAACGCGGACTTTAGTGTTTGTGCACACTAGATCGTAGACCTTGTTGCGGAGTTCGGCGGGGAGACGAAGTAGAGGTGAATCGCGCTGGTTCTTGGTTGTCCTGGTAGCCCTGGAGATCAGTAAATGAAAAACGCCAGGATTTGATTTGCTTACTTGTCCTCGAAGACACTAAGAGATCTCAAGGTATCGACGTCCATGATTGTGGATTAATGTGGGAGTTACGTGTTGGTCGGAACGTCCAAAGGTCGAAAAGTTGTAGGACCTGGGTGGAGACGAGCAAACGGAGCTAGCGCAAAGACAGGCAGTCTCACCTTGATTATTTGGAGCACAGTCACAACATCAGGCAGCTAAAGGTGGCGAACCAGGGGCGAGTAGATTGACGGTCATGACAACTTTGTCTTCTGGAAGTTCGCTCTATCGTTGTTGCAAAAACAAGAGTAAGACCTCCACGGAATATTATCAACCACACTACCGCGGATTAGTTCTTCTCTTCGCGATGATTCTTTCTCGGAGAGACCTGATTGGATAGGTATAATATATAAATTTCGGAAGTCGTGACTCTCTCCGTCAGCGCAGTACCATAGGATGCAGTTTTCTATGGAATGTGACGCGCAATCTTCAATTAACCATAGCTAAACAGTCACGTGTCTGCCGAAGTACTGTTCAGACATTGTGCTCACCTGTATTGGGCCATTGTAATCTCAAAACCTAGCGTGAGATGGGTAAGGAATTGGTGACGCCATCGAACCACATTATGGATTGCCTCCTCCTTCCACTCCTTCCACTGATGATCGTCTCCCCTAACTGCATGCAGTGCGCACCTCTTGACCTCTCTCTTGAGAGGATCAGAGAGCCTACTGGCGACGTTATTCGCGGCAAGCTCCCAAGCGATGGAGTTGCGATCGAATGTCTTATAAGCACACTCGATTTCGACGCGTAATCTTGCCAGTGACGCGCGAGGTAGACTTCTGAGGAACGAGAGTGAGGGTCGGTACTCGGTATCGCAGAATTCGTCACATGGCGGGACTTTGTGTTTCATTTGGATCTCAAGTTGCCGCAATGCAACCATGCGTGGGAGGAGATCAACTAGTGCTTTGCACTGCTCGGATTCTGCGTCGAGATGCAGTGTCTCGACCAAGCCTTCCGTTTGGCGAAGAGTTCCTACGGTCAGATTCACTACTGAAAGGAATCTCGCGCGGATCAGTGTGGGAGCGTGGCGTACTTTGACCCGTCGCATGACGTCTTTGACGTGAAGAAGCCTGTAGCGCATGTCCAGGTCCATTTCAAAGCGAGCCAGATAATACAACTGCTCGGTAGCCTCCTGGTACATCTGCTTGCTCGCCCGCATCCACGGGATTTGCGCTTTATAAGTATCTATAACAGGTCCTTTGTGAATGTGGTGCCTTACTCTTACCTGAGTCTTACCGTGCATAAAGGTAGCGCAGAGATTTCCGAGTGCGTAGCGATAGATCTCGTCTCTGATCTCGCGTGGAAGGAGCTCAAAGAATCGACACAGTGTATCTGGTGGAATATCCGCAGCGTTAGGACCCCCGGAGGGAAGGGCTTGGTCTCGAAGAGCAAGATGGCAACTGGATTTCTCGTCGCTAGATGCGTCGCTCAGCATACTCAGGGTGTCGTCTAGATGGTTTAGATTAGCGATGCATCTTAGCTCTCGTGTGCTTGGCAAGCGTTGGAGTTCCAGAGGCATGTTGTGCTTCGAGGTGGTTGAAGAGGTGGGATGTTTCTGCGCAAGAAGCGTGGATTAGGGCTGGAGAAACTGAAGGGAGATAGGTGGGTCGCGTTACGTAGGAGCAGCAACCGATGTTCTTTTGTGAAGATAAGTAAAATCCAAGAGATGGGAATGGAGAAGATAAAGCTCCCAACAGGACAAGAGATTAGACCAATTTATAGTTCAGCTTCTGTGCGAAGTCCCAGGCTGCAGTCCCAAAAATTGCTCGTAGTTTTTACAATTGCTGTTGCTATTTGGACCGCGATCTGTATCCGCGGGCATGCAAACATGGATCAATCAGGCACCAGCTAGGCCTCGTCGGAGGCACGTGAGACCGCGATTCGTTGGTGGAGAAGATCTCGAGAGGTAGCAAAAGGTTGAACCGCCCATGCTGGATGGCGAATTACCCTAGCCGAAGACTCTTATAACGTAGATAGAGAATTGAAGACGTTACTATCATGGTTGCAAAGTCGAGTGATACAGTCGAAGATGATGCATGCAGGTCCAGCGCGCTAATCCCAGGGTCCAGGTCCAGATCTCCCCCACAAACGTCGTCATCCGTTCCGCCGACCCAAACAGTCCAACAACCCGGTTGCCTTGCCGCACGCGCGCAGGTAGCCACGAAAGGCCACCTTTCAATCACCCAGCCTCTATTAACACATAATCCCGTCTAATCTTCTCCCACGCAACATACACTCAAGTCCCCGAATCCTTCAAACCCCGTACCAACTCGCGCAAAAGACACAGAAAAAGATGGAGAAACTCAAGGAAGCCGAGACAGTAGCAGCGCAACGTTTGCGCAAGACGTTCAAGTACCCGTCCGAATCCGACGATGAAGATACCGTAGAAGCGGGTATGGATGAACATGGTACCCTTCTCTCTCCTCCATGCCTCATCCCCGCCTTGCTGACAGAACTACACAGACCGCGCAGCCCTACTCCAAACCCTCAGCACACACGACACATCCACGACGCACACATATACGCTCTTCCTCCTTGCGCTACCCTTACTCCCCATACTCCTCTACCTCCCGCGACTATTCGCCCTGTCCACCCTCCCGACCAGTCTAGTCTCTATCGCGAGTCTGCTAGCAACAGCGTATACGTTATATTTCCTGCCGCTACCGCCAACGCAGATGGAGCCAATCGATGGTGTGGACGTCACGCCCTCAACACTCCAACAACCGTCGAAAGGGAAGGGGCAGGCTAAGAAACCTCTGGGTGGATATGGAATCTACAACAAAACACCATCGTGGGAACAACCGACTGAGAAGAGTGTCAGGCGGCCTGTACCATACATCTCAGAAGAGGCAGCGGATAAGATAGCGGATTCTATTGTGCCGATCAACAGGGCCGTGTGTGGGCTATTGGCGTTGTATGAGGTCTGGCAAGGGCGTGGCTGGGGTGAAGGGCTTATGGTGGGAGGCGGCTTCTTACCGGGCGTGATATGCATGATCATCCTGTGGGCGAGGACGGAGTTGAGAATTATCGACATGGCTACGTTGGAGAAGATGAACAAGAGTGCTGCACAGGGGAAAGCAAATTGAGTTCAGATAAGCTGCGAGTTTTGGAGTTAAGTCATGGGACGGTCACGACTAAGATACCCACCCAGGAATGCATGATCAGTCTTCTAGCTGTAATAACGATATCATTAGGTTGTATGTATTGGTGAAGGAATATGTCCGTGATCAATGTCATGTCGTGTCGAATGCAAAAGTCCAACGCTGCGCTGTGCTATGCCGAGCTATACCAAAGATGCCAAACCAACGCCGCGCTCGCTGAAAGTTACAGATTCCAAATTGCTCTTTTTGCGTAGCCAGCACTAGGCGTGTCATGGGCTAGCTTCTAGGACTTCATTGTCCAGGTCGATGTCTATGCGTGTAATGTGCTCGAAGAGGTTTGAAGTTGATGGAAGAGGTTCCTAACCACGCTTCCAGAACTGGTACTTCTTCTTTTGTGGCTTCTCGTTCGCTTCGCCGGCGACCATGTTGGTGTCCCTGATGCCGCCTGCCTCTGTGCCAGCAGCGTCCATGTGGTACGCCTTCTCGTTTCCTCTCTTCTTGCCCTTCTTGACATCTCTCCTTGACGCGCAGCAGCAGCAGAGTCCCATCTGTACGAGCCAGGCAAAGATGGCGAAAGCACTTGCCACCCACATGAAGGCAAAGAGGGTCGTGCCAATCTCCGCCGATATGTTCAGCTCAGCCACACCACCGATAGTGTTGCGGAAGATGATGAACATGACGGTTGCGATGACCGAGGCGACGGTTACGAAGAGGGCGTTGAGGAAGGCGAGGATTGCGACGACGAGGGTAAGCCAGCGCGTGTAGATGGAGATGGGCATGACGAAGATGAGGACGAAAGACAAGACCGTTGCGGTGAGGAAGAGACCGAACATCCAGTTGGAGACGAGATGAATAAGGTCGAGAATGTCGTTGATGTCGGCGGGAAGGTTGACTGTAGACATGCATGTTAGTTACTCTGTTTCCAATGCACGATATCTAAGAATCGGGACGTGAAGCAACTTACTCGAAGCCCCGGAAAGAAGCTCGTTACGCAGGATTTGCACAGGGTTGAACCAGTATAGCGTCTTTGGCTCACTGCAGAAAGTCACGCCCTCACCCGCGTATCCCTCGCAGAAACCCCATAGCCCAACTTGATAGAAATCATGCAGTCCGAGCGTTTGCGCGATGGTGTTGATAAGAGCGAAATTCGGTACGCTGGCAGGCACGATGTGGCTCAGGTCGAGGCGAATGAAGTACCAATCCTTAATAACGGCCTTGTTGCGTACACCAGAGATGTTGACAAGGATCAGGAAGATGAGTGTGATGAAGAGGAAGAAGGATGTGATCAGCGCCCATATTTTGCGTGTGCGAGTTGCGCGCTTGATTTGTTCTTTGCTGAGGTCTGGGGCGGTTTGCGTGACGGCGGTGTCGTCCGACTTGCGACGGCGCGAGAAGATGCCCATGATGGACGACTCGGGGATTTCCAGGCGTTGAAAGGAAGAAGAAGCAAGGCGTGCTGCGGCGGAGGATTGTGAGAGAAGAAAGTGAACAAGCAATAACCGGGCCTCAGACGAACGACGTAGAGAGCGAAGATCCGAAACGTTTCGTCGATTGAATATCCAGGCCAAGAATGCCTTGAATCCGGGGCAACGCAATCTCCTACGCGCGTGCAGCAGCAGCAGTCGTGTATTTTATGGAGCCTGGTCGAAGATCGCGAGCTATGACGTACAGGACCCCTAACAGCAAAACTAGACACCGCAAGAAGGCGCTGGCGACGCGGCGCCCTTCTCACCAACGACACACATCGGCACTAGGCCACGCGCCTAAGACACCAGAGGGCAAATCATTGCGCGCGACTGAAGCACCGGCGTGGCGCACGTTTGCTATGAGCAAGGTCTGGCCGGTACGCGCGTGCGTGGCTGGTCATGACGTCGCGCTGGGCACTGTTTACTGGTGATGGTTGGGAGTGGAGTTGGCTACTGTGTGGCTGTGCTTGCTCTACTATGGTGTGGATAAAATGGAGGTCAATGTATGTAAGAATGAGATTTTCGCGGGTAATAGAGGAGCGGCGTCGATGATCTACATACGTGGATAATTCTCTCGATGATGGCGCAGGCGGATGCGGAAGGATGCGAAATTGCGCTAGGCTTCGGATCTGCGCGGCCAGACAGCAGAGGGGGCATCGCGAATCCACACTATTGCATGGCTCGACGTTGAGGCTCCTTACTAGACAAACTCGTGTTCGGGCGGCTAGCATCACTAGTTACGTCTGATGCACAACATCACGCGTGGCCAGTTGAATGCGCTTGAAGTAATGTTTTCTCTTTCCATTCCTCTATGTGCTCTGCTAGATGTTCCACAATCACTAAAGCCTCCACGGTCTCCAAACCACCAAGCTGCCCTCCACATCTCAACTTCGCCATGTCGCAGCAACGCAGAAGAATAAAAATTAGACATTGGTAAACGCCAGCCCATCGCTAAACCGCCCTAGAAACGAGTAATCTGCCGGTCATTCGTTGCACAACCGCGATGGAGAAAAATAGGAAAGTGTACTAGACGGACCGTCTGTACAGGTTGTTGCTGTGATGTGAAGATGGAGAGTAGCCGACGCGCGCTGTGTCTATGCCACGATACCAAGGAAATCATCAAGGCCGCTAAAAAGCAGTGTATAGAGAACAAGTTGACATAATGAGCTTTTAATGTTCGGTCGAGTGTGCGGAAAGCTCAGCCAGCGAGCAGGATGTCTGTCGTCAAAGATGTGTGCTGAAGAAGTCGCGACTAGTTTAGGCGCCCTCTACCATGTTCATCCTGGGTTTTAATTGCACCATGAAGTCATCCTTGGTACCCAGAACGTCCCTTGGTATCCTGCTGACACGGTTGGCTCCGCTGCGAACAGCAAATCGGCCAACTGCCGAGATGCCAGAGTGATTTGATCGGATTGAGCCAGCATCTGAGGCACCGCCACCGGCAGGGTCACGTATACGAGCAGGTGGTGCGAAATCGAGCGCAGTGAAGGTACCAGACTTGCGCATCAAGTAGGGACTGGGTAGCGCTGGCAGTTCGTCGTAGGATCCGACGAGGGGTGTGTGTGGTCGTACGGCCGGGCTGTATGGCCTGGGAGTTCCAAGAGGGCTGTCAGGTCGTACGCCGTTTTGCCTCTCGCGGAACGAGACTGGCGGTGCAAAGTCGGCGGCGTCGAAAACCATGGAGCTCTCGGTAAGCTTAGCGGGTGTTGGGAGAGAGGACAAAGCGGATGGAGGAGGCAGCGGCTTCTTCATTGGCGGAGGCAAGCGTCCGCTCATTGAAGACATGCCACGCGGAGGTGGATATTGTGAGGAAGCCATGGAGCCGTTTGACATGTGCGGGCCACGAGGACCAGTGGCAGTGTTGCTTCGGAACCGGGGAGGAGCACGCGGGGGAGGAGTCATGGCACGACGAGTGATGGGCTCAGCGAACGGGGCGTTCGGCTGAGCGACAACGAAGGCACCGGTGCGAGGGTCGAAGACAGTGCCGTCTTGGTACTCCGAGCCGTAGTCTTCAACGTAATCGGTGTATTGGTGGCCGCCAGCAGGCTCAGGCTTCGAGTCGTCAAAGTATTCCTTGTAGAAAGATCGGATACGGTTGGCGCGCTCCTCGGGGTTCTCCTGAGGGTCATCGGAAGGCATGGGACGGAGGCTCATGGACAGACGGTTAGAGCTGGGGGCGAAATCGTCGACTCCAAGACCAACGTTCTGGGGACCAGTCGAGTAGCGAGGCTTAGGTGCAACAATCTTGGGTCCCTCGCTTTCCTTGGGAGACGGCGGTGTGATCTGGAAACCATCGCCGTAGCTCGAAGTGCTGATGATGCTGTGCGTGTTGGTGTTCTCTAACACAACAGCTTGGGACTTAACGCGTGGCAATGTGGGGATGTCGTTGGTGGTCTGGACGGGTGACTTGCTGACTTGCTTCTCGGTGACACCAGGCTCAGGAATGGAGATGGTGGGAACATCGGTGGGCTTGAAGGCGGCGTATTGGGTGGTGGGCTCATCTGAAGGCGAGGTGGCTGACGGAGGCGAGATGGGAGACGACTTTTCTTCAAACCGTGGGTTCAAAGGACTGAGAGGAATACCCGCCTCAGGGAACTTGCTGTCTGGGGAGCGCGAACTGTCAGGGGACAGAGACTCTCCGCGAATGGGGTGCGACGTCGACATCCTCTGTGCATTCTGAAGAAGGCCAGCCTGAAGACCTTCCTTCCTTGTTCCTGCGCTTGAAGTGGTGTACATAGATCTGGCGTCGTTTCCATAGGGGCCGCGGCTTGCGCTGCGGATGCTCTGGTCGTCCTTCAGATAGGCTACGGGGCCGTAGGGGTCGTGAGGATCGTGTTGCGAACGCGATAACGAGTGGAACGACTCCCGGGAGCCATGCAGGCCGACGGGCAGGATGTACGGGCTTCCAGTCTCGATCGAGAGACCTCGGTCGTGGCCTCCAGGGATTTCCTTCTCTGACACGCTCATCTCAGGACCTCCCTTCTTGCCGGCCTTGGCGACACCCTCCATGCCCCAGTCGTGCGACTTGTACTTGTCTTTGGAGTCTTCTTCTGCGAGCTTCCTCTTGTTCCTGCGATGTAAAAAGAATAGGACGATTGTGACACCGACGACAGGTACACTACATGCCATTAGCGCATTCACAGCTGAACAGACAGCCAACTCACATGATAGCCAGTGCGATAGCAATGGTTGGTACTTGGGTTGGCTTGGTGCAGCCAGGATCGCTGTCGTTGGTACATGTTGCACTGGCGCGGGCCACCAGTACACGTGAGGCTCGTTCAGCTAGTTGGATCGTCTGGCTTGCACTGCTGGGAGAGCCAACGTGGATGTCGCGGTGCACATGGTGCATGTGTTGGTGATGTGAGTGCGGCATGGCTCTAAGACCGATGTCGCATGTGAGGTCGCAATCGATAGAGCTAGTAATGGATCCGGGGAAGCTCGTCCTTGGTATTGTCGACGTGACGCTACGATGCAGGTATTAACAACGTGAAGTCGTAACTCAGTCGTGACAGCTAGCTGGCAGAATAGTATATGCGAAACTCGTTCCGGGGTAGTCGAGGAGTGAGTGGACGGCAATAGCCAAGGTGACAGCAACACAAGCAAACAAACTTCGGCCCAAAAAAGAATGACTGGGGTAAGATACGATAGAGCTGCGAAGGGTGCTGGTGGTGGTTGCAAAAAGAGCGACAGGCCCACGGAGAGGTGAGTTGAAGGAAAGAAGACGGATGGGCGCGAAGGGTAGATGAGGCGCCGCACAGGAGCCTGATCTCCGGTTCTGGCTGACAGGCCTCCTGATTGGGCGGCTGTCTCAAGCCTTGCACGGGTCAGGCCTGTTACGCCGAAGCAGAGAGTGAAGGGCCCGCGTTCGTCCCTAGGCGCAGCCACACGTTTGACCTTGAGCCGGCCCGCTGATTGCATTCACGCCCTCGCCCACCGCCCGCTGCGTCCCGACGTCTTCACTGCTATCGTGTCTCTCTGCACGCAATCGATAGAGCTATCGTCGTATTTTCCCAGCTGCACATCCACCCGTCAGCTGCACCCGAAACCCCTACTGGCCTGCAGCTTCAGGAGGCAGCTAGGCCGCACCGTTTATTTTGGATCGCGCCCGTGCGGACCCGCTAGCCGCAATGGGCGTCGCTACTGCAGGAACCCTTTCGTGAACTTCCGTCATTCGTCGGTTCTTCTTCAACAACAGATTGTCGACCAGGGCTCCCGTTGTGAGCTCCAGGCCATACGACCGCTCAGAAGCGCCCTGGGCCCCTGAACCATACTATGTACACGCGAACGCCCGTCTCTCCACGCTGCAGCGTCGTGCTACGTTCCCTGATGTACAACAGCTCAGCGATCTTTTTTCGCTGCATAGCCACTCTCGTCCTCTGGTCGCCCAGGACCCGCAAAAACACAATCCTCCCCCTTTCCGATGCTGTGGAGCTCAAACTGGTCCAGAACAAACCCGCTCCACGCTGTCTTCATTTCCCGATCCCGCAGCGGCCGAGCGTTGGTTGTGCACGACCTGCGACGGCCTTGCGTTCTGCATGCAGGCTCCCCCGAGCCCGCTTCCGCTTAACAACCGTCATTTATCGAGATTGTGCCCTTCACCCGTCATATTTGTTCTGCTCCCCTTTTGACATGTGAAACTCTTCGCAGCTTTGTGAAACTCATAGGCATTGAATGCGCAGAATGGGGTTGCAGTCGTGCATCGCTTTTTGTACGACGACTGTTGAGGCACGAAGGAACAGCCAAATCTGCCTCACCGCCACGAGCCTCGCCCTACGAGACCCCTTCATCACTAGGGAGATTACCCGTCTTTCGCCATCGGAATCGCCATCAAAATCGGCTTCTGGTGTTTGATGAGCGCATGGTTACCGGCATAATGTCTAGGCCTTTACTACAGCCTCGCGTGTACGGCTTTGTTGTCGGGAGATTACTCTATGTGATGTCATGTTGGACGACAGTGCGCTTGAGTAATTCATCGTTAACTTTCAGTTTTGAGTCTACTTGTTAGTGAAAGGGTATATCCTCGTCGCGCACGCACGCATTGAGAACGACTCTTTGCGAATCTTGAATCATGATTCGATCGACAGTGGTGTGAACTGTAACCCTAAGCGCCAGAAAGTGGGTTGTACGACAAGTGTCACAACTTAGACTTCGTGGCGGGCGACCTTCACCTTTCCATGCGTTTTGGGATCTACGTATTCCTGTTGGAATATCTCGTTCTTCATGTGCGTCCTGTTTTGATGGTAGTAGATTCGAGTCTTGCTAGTTTCCTTTCCCGGTCTCCCACATACAAATGCAGATGCTATGTGACAATCTGGGAGCTGGACTTTCTTGACGGTCTCGACATGAGCTGGATCGTAACGTCTGTAAATCAGCGCTTAAAGTATACATCGCTTGTTTTCCGACTTTTGGGCATATGGACGATCAACAACTACTGTCGTTGGGAGTTCCATGCCCATTGCGGTTCGAAACAAACGGACGTACACCGGCACCTCGAAATGCAACCAGTGCCGGTGGGCCAGCTTCCAGTGATCCCCAAAACGCGATGTCATGGGATCTTCTGCAGACTAATGTAGACAGAGGTCGGGTTCACACAATCCCAATGGATCTGGGGATACCAGGTTGAGTTTTTACTCGATTGATTCGGCCGTATGCCTTCTGAGATCCATGCAAGGATTGATTCAATGGAAGACGTTTGCCTGTGAAAGAAGCCTTCGATCGATTCGATAATCACGCGCTTGCTCGAAAGATCCAAACCGGGAGGCGTGAGACCCTATATGGTACGGAATGATTGGAATACCAGAGAATAATTTTTGCACGCTTTAATGACGGGCTCGTTTAAGAGCCAAGATGTCATCATTCCCGACGGCGTACATGTTCATGTTGTCACGCCGTTTTTGATTTAATGAGTAGAAGTCGGGGGCGTTGGTATTGTGCGCTTGGAAGGGGATATATCGGCTTCATACGCTGCCGGACATTCTCTTCTTTGTCGAAACTTTGATTGGGTCATGTCGTAGGCGCCCATGTTCGGCAGAAGTCCAGCGGGGACTGTGATCGATTGTATAGCGTCTGTGTAGAAGTCGTGAGATGCTTGGAAAGTGAACCAATATCCGCTGGATATTGGGAGCGACTCTGTTTGAAGATATAGCGAAAGCCAATTCGGTTGCATCCGGGTTTCTAGTATGTCATGACTGTAACACCTTAGCATGTATCCTCGAGCTGATGTTATGCATGCTTTGGTGATGCAATAGCTTTGTGGCGTTGATTACACGGGCAAACTCCGTCTCGCGAAGTGCAACGCAATTACTTCCTGCTCATCCGTACACGAAGGATAAGATCGTGTTCGCAGTACCTTTAAAGCCGTCAGAAGGAGCTCCAACGTAACAACTGATCTGTGCAGGCTCATGGATGTGGTATACACAACTGCCGGATGTTCGAAAGAGGTGGGCTTCCTCGCGAGTCAAACCGCATGCTCTTGCTAGCACCGACGATGATGTCCGCGGACGGGTAGTGGATAGTCCCTCATGACGAAAAAGAAAATTTGGCACAGCGAGCCGCGCAGCAGTATATATGCAGCGTGACCTGGGTCACGCCGCACGACGCGGGCTTGCAGGTGTGTGGCCATACAGCATTAGCGATGGAAGCCGACAGAAGCGATCGTGGGGACAGAACGTGGCTGGCTAGGAATGGGTTTCACCGAGGAAGTACCGATTGACTATGACGCATTGGCCATTCTCCTCTCACGAGACAAATCACCATCGAACAACGAAGACGTACATGCAACACGACATTGACCTGTTACCGACTCGCTGCTCACCCTTCACACCCTCTTGCTACTTTCTTTGATTACATTAACCACCACTCCGCCCAAGCTCTGACGTTGGATCTCGATAAGGGCTCATCCCCAGCCCTGCAGCTCGCGATTCCCTTTGGTCCCTGCGCTGCGTAGCTACGCCCCACTGCCACCCCAACTTCTTAAGGGTCCGATCTCCCTACACAAGCCGCACCAGCAACATGTCGCACTTCACCAACATGGCCGCCCCGCACACGCTATCTCCTAGGAGTGCCACACCAAACTCTGGAAGCCGAACGATGGAGGTTCGACCTCAGCCCGTATTGCGTCTGTCAGCACCTTCCGGTGTGCTTCGTCTACGCGCAGAGCCATCAGAACGCCGACACATTCAATGGGCCGAAGACGTGGTCGACAACGAAGGCATGGGCAAGAAATCTTCCAAAGGTACGACAATCCAGTTCGCGCAATGCTATCATGGCAGGGACTAACAAACTTGAAGTTTGCTGCATCTACCACAAACCCCGCGCCGCTGACGAGTCTTCTGACGACGACTCCTCAGACTCATCGTCAGACTCAGATTCCGACTCCGAGCCCGACAACAGCACCGCAAGGCCTGCTGGGCGCATGGGTGGAGCGCGCGGCAGACGGCCACATCAACATGCTCACGACGATTGTGAGGACGTCCACGATCACGGCGAGGGATCGAGTACCCCGCAAAAGCACAAGCGCCAACGGAGGAAGCCAAGCCCAAATGCCTACGAGAAGATGCCGAAGCAGAAGAAGTAAGCTGCGCTCTAGCTGGTAAACTCTCAGTGTCTACTGGGGGTTGGTCAGTACGACTTGGAAACGATTTTCATTGCTTGGAGTTACGGGTGTCCATGAGGCACATCATGATTTGGACTGCGTCATTGCATAGCGCTGGGAAAGGACTTGGATAGTCCGCAAAACGTCGCCTTTTGTGGCTGGACGTGAGACATTAGATGCAGATAAGCATTATCTTGTAGCATTAGAATTGCACATGCGAGGCTGGGAACCTCAATTCCTACTAGACGTCTTCTCATCCTTCTTGTCTCCGATTGGTGCAGTCTTCACCGTTCTTCCGTGTACACGCTGTTCTGCAGTTGTGAAACCAATCGCAGCAGACGTTGGGCTCGGCTGCGTGCAGCTCTCCTAGCGAGACATCTTTGCTTGCAATGTCTTGCGGATCAAAGTACGAAGACATGCACGTTTAGTCGATCACGCGTCGATTATCGCCCTTGTCGTCCGCCCTTACTCGTAGAGTTTCCAGCAGCGCGAAAACTCAATCAGGTGTCACTCCACGTGTCAGGACCGCTCAGTCGTCTGCAGTGGCTGCATTCGCCTGTTCTATCACCGCAGGAGCGTGTTGTGTAGGAATGCGGACAAGCGTCTGGGGCAATGGTGGCCCATCTTCTGCCTTCTTTTCTGTCTCATCCTCGTCTTTCGGTTTTGGAAGTTTTGCTTTTTCGAATTAGTGTTTGCTGGATTTGTGAGAATGGAGAACATACTTGACGCCATGTTTATAGCTCTTAGCACATTATGCCAGTTTGATAGCACTGCTGCGACCGCTGATCAACCGCAACGTTAGTATGATGTTCCTGTTGTGCCGGCTGCGAGATCTGTCGATCCAGCTTTCTGCGTGCGACGCCTGACATACCTTCTGTTCCATCTGACAATGTCGATAGCTTATCAGCGAGCATCTGCATCTGGTCTGCAAGCCCTCCGCTTAACGCTTGGAGGTCCTTCAAGTTGGCTAATTCGGCTTTCTTTTCTGCAATGCGCGCAAGCAACACGGGTGATTGTTGCTGGGACCCGCCCATTGACTGGTTGCGGAGATGTGAGGGCAGCGGCCGTGTGAAGTTTGACATGTTTCTTAATAGGTTAACTTTAGTTGACGTGGTCCTGATTGTGGTTGACGAAGTCGAGGTCGGAAATAGTAGGGAAGTGTTTTTGGATGTGTAAATGCGCCAACAGGAGGAAAGTCTGCCCCGGGGAACACGTGAAGGCTGCTGTGTCGAGCTTTTGCGTTTTTCTCGTCTGGTGAGATACGTATGCTATTACCACATCAAATGCTGCCCTGCTGCATTGGTGAACGCGTTCGTGCCCCTCTCGTCACGTGGACGCGCCCTTGGCGCTAACCCGTCTGAACTTAGCTTTGTTGCTATGTAAACATGCAATGACGAACACAGAAGGAACACCTACCGACGCCCTAGAGTAGCAACGCCACGACAACTGCGCGACCGTCTACAACACTATAATTAATCTCGACATACCTATCTGCGCATATGGCGCGTCTCAACGAGCCGCCGATTGCACCCCAGCCGTCGGCGGAATCCATCGAAGCCCTCAAACGACGCTTTCTGAGGCAAAACCGCGAACTCGCAAAGACGAATTCGATCCAATCTATCCGCATCCGCAGCCTCGAAACTGACTGTTCGCGACTTCTTGCCGAGAATTTGGCATTGCGCGAGCAAGTCTTGAATCTCCACAACACGATTGAGTCGCGTCCGGCACTCGACCAATTTGATGTTGTCAAAACACAGCTTGAAGCCAAGCTATCAGAGCTCAGCAGCCTGGTAGCTGGCCTATCGCACACAAGAAGTGGGGGTGGGAAAGACAGAGGAAGACGGAAAAGCCAGATGACTGCGAAGAGGAAGAGCGGAGAAGAGCGGCAATGGAGGAGTGGACTGGGTCTACAGGAGGTTGAGAACGCCATGCTCCCTACTATCACGGAAGACAAATACTATCCTCGCAGGACAATGGGGTACGTCTGGATCGCGTTCCAAGCAGTGACACGTACAGACGCGCATGAAGCTAACTTTTTGTAGTGCGGATGAGCTTCAGCAGACCTTAGCAGACCCAGACAGTCAATCCCCAGACATTGGCCCTCCGCCAGTTGCCCGATTCGAAGACGAAGACCCCATCGGTTTCGACCCCAGCCCCGCGATAGAAGAACAGCGAGAAGAAGCTGCAGACGACGGTGAACCTGCACTATCGGTGAACCTCGAGACGCGTAAGAAGCGACGCGAGAGCGGGCCCAAGCTCAATATACGTCGTGTATCTCTCTTCGAATCACCGGAAGAGTCTGAAGAGCCAGTCGCGAAGCCTCTGCGCACCGGGGCCAAGCGGAAGTTCAGCGTTCAAGAGGATGAGGAAGTGAACCAAGCCAAGAGTGATGCTTTCAGGTTCAGCCGCCGGAATGCCCCAGGTGCTTCGGACGTGGAGGCGTCAAATGATGACTCTAGACCCTCTGCACTAGAACGCCCTCCCGTCCTTTCAGCTAGTAAGTACCCCCAAAGCAATAGTGTACACAAATCTGACTTGGTAGAACCCGTCAATACCGATCCAGTCTTGTCGCCAAAGAAGCAACGCTCTTCAGGTCAAGACAAACCAGACAAGCCAGACAAGCCAGCACCTAAGGCTCGCAGCCGCCCTCGATTGAACATCACGCGCAACACGACGTCAGAACTTCCGCTTCTACCAATGCCTGAACCTGTGCCTACTGCTGAGATTGTGCTTGACTCTCTACCCCCGAAAACACCCGCCGTGGAAGAGACCTTCTCTCCACCATCTACAGAGCCGTCGACACAACGACCAGACAACAAGGATACACCACCACCAGGGGATCTCAACTCAGTAGATCAGACCGGTCAAGCCGGACGACCGGGTAGACGAGCCCGTCCCCAAGTCAGTTACAAAGAGCCCAGTCTCAATGTGAAGATGCGGCGTCCAGACGCCAAGCTGGTCGACGCGGTGATCGATCGCAGGGCCAGTGTAGATACTCAGAATGTACCTTCTACATTGGTCAAACGGGACGCCGATGGCGAAATCGCGTGGAAGCCGGTATCGGCAGTCACTCAACCGAGGGTTGAGGAAGAAGCTGAAGCTGGAAGCCCGTTGAGACAGAAGCTTGACCGGAACCAAGATTCCAAAGCATCGCCCGCGTCAATGGCTGAGCCAGAAGAACGATCAACGACCTCGAAAGCCATATCCGCGCTCATTACCGAGACTAGCACTGCTAAGAGAAGAGTGGCTACTTCAACTGCAGGACCAGTGTCGGAGCCTCTCACCGCCAAATCTGCAGATCTTGCCCTCTCAAGCAAAGATACGATAGCTGTGAGACAAGCACCACCAGAGAAGGACACTTTGGCTGTATTCGACTTCACGGACTCGTCACCTGCTGACACTGGGTTCAACCCACGTGCCCGCGTCAACGAACTTGCCAAAACAGCGAGAAGCGCACGGCGACACTCCGCTATGCCTACATCTTCCTCGTCAACGGTGTCGGACGAGCGCAGGCCCGAAAGGGAGAAGACTGAGGGCGCGCTCCCTTCTTTGCATAAGCGCACTGGCAGCGGAAACGTGAAAAGTAGCAGTACTACGAACTTAGCGAGGAGCAATAGTACTAATGGTATTGTTAGGAGTACGTCGAGTGCTCGAACGGCAGTGAAAGAAAAGAAGCCTTCAACTATAGGAGCTTTACCAGCCAGTGCTAGCACGAACGACCTCGGGACGAAGGTCGATGGTGTGGAGGACGCAAAAGTACGGGACAGAGAGAGGGAGACGAGCACGCTGAGAGCCGAACGCGCCGCTAGTCGACGGAAAAGTATGATGCTTTAGGGATAAGTGCAGAGTGCAATGTAGACATGGAGGCGTTTTTTCTGGTGTATCGGCGTTCTGAGGGTATGACATGAGCCTTTTCTCCATAGCGGTGGCGTTTCTTTGCGAATGATACCTGATCTCACGAGATCGTCTCTGGTTTAGTGTAATTGGATCGCCTTATGACTATTATGAATTCTGGTGTAACGATGCATTCTACAATTCTCTACCTCATTGTGTTGATGACATGGCCTTTACACATATGTGTTTCACAATACTGTTTCTTCGAAAAGATTCTTGTGGGTCTTTCTTGTGTACTTGTGCATCATCGACTGCGTATGGGATTGCACTCATTACTTTAGTTGGTGGGAACATGGCTATGGAAGAGTCCTTCTGTTAGCAAACTACACGCGGACAAGAGTGAATGATGGTGATGATGTAAGTGATTGTATTGGTGTACGATATATGTCTCCCCCTCCAAACACACCTCTTGACTTCCCTCAGCACGATGAAATGAGTGTCCAGTCCCTTTGCTCGAAGTAGCATCTCTCTGAATGCCACATCTAACGGTTCCTGTCCTCGTACCAGTCCTTGCTACCATTGTTACTGAAGACCCTCTTGAAGCCCTTGGAAACAGCGTCAGTGACGCTAAAGTCATTGAAGAGCCACTGGTTGCTGTGTCGGCCATAGTACTTGAACTCCTTAGCTTCCTCGCTCTTCGCACTCCTGCCGCTGCCAACGCTGCTTTGGGTGTTCCTGCGGCTGCGCTTGTGAACGCGCGGCTTGCTGAACTCGCCTGGCGCGACGCCGACACTTTCAGCGTGCGTCTTGGAGCTGGGCTCAGCATGCATGACGCGGAGACCAGAGTACTGCGAGTACTGAGAGTCGTTGGTGCCCGTTGTGGACGTTGTTGCTGACTTGGTGAAACGGGGCATGATGCCGCTGTCAATAGAGGTGGATCGGGGACGTCGCTGGGACAGAACTGAATCGGAGGCGGTATCTCCATTGGGTTTGGTGGTGGAGTTGTTGTTGTTGGATTTGTTTTCGAACGAGGCAAGCCTTGAAGTCAAGTCTTGTGCGTCGATGCGTTGGTTGTTGTAGTCAGTCATCGGCAGGATGGTCGGGGACTGAGTGGTAAAGGTGATGACGTTGGGATCTTGGTTGATAGTGGAGTGTGTTTGATAGTCTCGAATCTTGTCTGACTTTGATGTTGAGGCTATTGGTTTGGAACTGATGCTCGTAGGTGGTGTTCCCATCGATTGTGGCAGTGTATGCTAGGGGTATCACTCGAGTATATATGCTTTCTCTCAGAGCACGCCAAGACTACGTCCTTCACCTCAAAATGCAGTCAAGACTTATTCCCGCTCCCAAGCCTCTTGGGTGGAGTCACGGGCTCGACGTAGGGGAAGTCGGCTCGGCACAAACGTCTATCTTGGCCCAACCATAAGCTTCATCCAACGCTAATAACCCACTTTATCCTGCAGTGTTCTCAGTCTCGTTCGGTTAAACGCTATCTTGCGCCAAATACGAGAACACATGACCTCTTATCCTTGCGCGTAACGGTCAGCCTTACGGCTGTATCGGCACGCAAAGAGACCGTGCTCTAGCCACAGCAAGCCACACCCAATCCCCGGTTCAGTAGCAACACATTATGCAAGGCCGCGAATGCATGCTCCTGCAACATGACATCGTTTTTACTAGCCACGGCTGGGCGAGACTCCGATCTTTCCGGCTAGCCACTTAGAGATCTAGCTGTGGCTTGTGAGCTGTGGCTCGTGAAGATTCTAACAACCTTAGTCTCGGCCTTGCGGCCTGAAGAGTTCAGCCGCAAGAGTCGGTCAAGCCACACGATGTTGAAGGGCCCTCAAAGTGGACACTAGCTGGATTGAAATGCTCAATAGGTTCGTCAGGAATTGAATACGTTGCCGGTGTTCCACGCCGTAGCCAAAAAGAAGCTGTCGTCTTCGGTGACAGATGACATTGACGGATGTCAATAAATGCATGGGCTGAGCGCTGATGTACCTCGAGCGCAAGAATCAACTTTTGATAAGAAGCCCCGAAAGGTTGGGCACGTCTCGAGCAGTCGCCGACGATGTGCTATCCGTGCTCGATATCAGGTTCTGACGCGCGTCAGGATGCATGGAGGATGACGTGCAGAAGGACACAAGGAAAGAGCTTGCAGCCAAAGCTACTTTGTGAACTTAGGAGGACTATTAGGCGCTAAATAATTTTGAGCATAGAGTAACAAGAGTAGGAAGCTGCATCTGAC